AAAAAAAAAAACAAAGATAAACAACAAGTATCATATTTTTCTTGTAAAAAAAAAAAAAGATAACAAAATAAGTATTTCTTGTCCAAAAAAATAAAAAGTATTTTTTAATACAACCTAAGAATAAATGGTCTAATTATATTTTTAATTTTTATAACATGATTGTGTTTAACATAAAATTAGTAATATTAATTTAAAGATAGGATTCATACAATGAGGCCATTTGAAATCTCTCTTTCTGCTAACAATCTTTTCTACTAATTTATTCTAAAAACCTAAAAAATTTTAAAAAAATGGTACGCGTTCTAATAATTTCTACATTGATAACCAAATATTTTATTTTATTTATTAATTTTGTATTATAAATCATGTTGTATATTATTTTTCTTACAGTTGTCAATAATACATTTTAAATTGGATGATATTATAAAATATTTTGAATTTGTTATTATTTACATAATAAAATAATTATAAAATATTGTTGATATATAATATTATAGTTAATTAGGTCGTAATAATTTGGGTTTTTTTAACGGATTAAAGCTTTCCGCCAATTCGAGATTTTAGTGGCCAAATTTTCATCGATTTAGTCAACTCTTTATTGTAGTCCATATATGATTAGATAATTAATCCATCATATAATTAATCTATGATAATTCTATGATTTCTTTTGTGTGATGTAAATTTAATTGGTTTACATAAATTCATACAGGGAAAGAGTATTTCAATATTCACAAATTGATAAAAAAAAATAAAAATTAATAATATAGTACCCTCATTTCTTATTGGATTCCTAAAAAACAACATTTATAATGAATTTTAATAATTTTTTCGGATTCTTTTGAAACTTTAATCCTACCGATTCAGCGGATTCCTGATCCGGATCGCCGATTCACCGATCCGGATAGATTTTTGAGGTGCCCGATCCGGATCACCAATCCGCTTTTTAAACTTTTTTTTTTTTTAATAAAACATTTTAAAAATAGAGAAAAGAAAAATTGAACTTAGAATCGAGTTCTTGACAGGCTCGAGTAGGTGAACAGGGCCAATCTGGCGGACTTTCCAAATGGGCAATCCGGATCCAGGTCAACGATCTATTTTGTCAAAAATCTCTCCTGATGAGAGATTTCCCACGTACTAAACGTGCCCTAAAAGAGTGACATGTCTAAAATGGTACCCCATTCATCAAGTAATGCATCACCTTTGCCAATAATTTGAAACTTGGATAAGTCAAATATCATACAAAAGAGAGAAGAAATCTCGGAGCATTCCCAAATTTAACAAAAAAAACCATGGCTAAATTAATGCGAGAACTAAATATTAACCTGAAGGGTGATGCATATTTGCATTTCAATAGTTGAAATGTAAGGCCTAGACTTTATGAAAATAAAGTGAAGCTTCACCTCAAATCTTCGTCTGGAAAGTGCTTTTGGGCATCGAAAATATCCACAATGGCTCTAAAATCAATTTTCAATACCAACTGTGAAATTTGAAGCTCTCCGATACTTATTTTTTGGGTGAAATAGATGGACTAAATAATGTGTTACAACATGCAGTATTATTAAAGCTTGAAAACCTTTCACAACCGTAATGGTCAAAGGCCAAATCATCGATTTAAAAGTTTTCCAACACAACAGCTATTTTCGATGAGTTTTGAGGTGAGGCTTTACTTATTTTGCTACTGCTGCAGTCCCATAAAAACATTTCCTTTCAACTTTTTTTGAGGCCTTCTAAGGCCTTCAACTGCATACTTATGGCCAGTCTTTCTTGGCCTCTCCCCAACAATTCCTCTCTCTCACTCACTCACTCATGTTACTTATTCCTACATTATTTATTGGACAGATAGCAAAATTTCCATAAATTAAAAAGCATCCACAGAGGTAAGGGCATCCAAGAAAATTTATTTTTGCTGTTTTCATACGTTGCACTTTCCTAACATTCCATCAAATTTCACTGAACCATGCCCTTCCCAAGGTGCAAGTCTAACTCGCCCCAGTTTTTGATAACACTCGATAGCCAGCTGACCTTGTTTCAGTAGCTAATTGACTGGAGTTTGAGTCTCAAATCATAAGATATTCAAATGCACAAGATAGAAAAAAAAACAAAAAGACCATGCATTGGATGAATATCTCAAAGTAAAGAAGCATATAGACATAAAAGAGAATAAAATAATCTCCAACAGATGAACATTTTGTATCAAGACTCGAGACTTGGAAGCTTCATTTATGAAATTCTCTCAACTCATTCTAGAAAAAACTCGGGTGCAAAAGAAAGTAAAAGATACTAAACTACCTCATTTCCCATCTAGACGACCTGAAGGGCCATCAATTTTCTAGCACTATGGTCATCAACATTTCTGGCACACATTTCCTAAGCTTTGACAAAGAGTCGAAAACATTTTCCACATCAACAATGAAACTCTACACCCCATAATAGAGAACCAGAAAATTGTGGACCATATTCTTACTTATAAAACATGATTTCTGATGGGAATGATGCGGACAAGAAGAGGAAAGATAAAAAAAGGGGGTGTCGACAATAAGAGGAAATCAAATTGACCGAATGATAGATATTGAATCAATTCAAGTGACAGATGACTTACAAATTGGACATAATGGTCGTCTCGTGAGCCATGAATCTATACACTGGCAACAAAGAGAAATGAATTCAACATTAAGAAAAAATATCAACACATGTTTCCCAGTAATGCAATACATCCTTACACTTCAGGACAATTATTTTTAACAAGGCTATACAATAGAAATTCGTAAAGAAGAAGATGGGCATATTACATGGTGTAATGTGATGATCAACTAAGATGTGATGATCCTTTGAGTTAACACCATTGCCCCTAAACTGTAAGTTTTCAATTTCCCTCTAAGGGCATAATGGAGAAAATATACACTACGATAATTAACGATTGTATTTTACGGTCATCAATGAATAATGACAAAATGCAGGGAGGCACCATAAACAAAATGTGCAGCTATGATGATAATAGGGAATATGTTAGGGAATATCTTCTCGTAGAACTTCGGGGTATGACTGTTGGCATAAGAGTTCACAACGGCTGGGGTATTACCCACCTCAACATGAGGATAAATACAGTTTTAAAAAAAAACGAGGATAAATACCTACACAGTAATTACCAGAATATCATTGCAAAGATAGAAGCCAATGGCTGTGAACTCCTACTACACAGAACCTGTTGGTAGTTTCTTGTTAAATACTGCCCGTGACAACTAAGAACTCAGTTTTGCCGCAGTTTCTTTTTTTTTTATGAAGTTAACAAGCCACAGTTTATTAAAGAACAACAAAATAAATGCACTAAACTATGATAATTACCTAGGTAGATGGGCATGCAGCACATATAACGAGCACAAAGGAGAAATTCAGATATATATAAAGAGAGAAAATTACATCTCTGTGAAACCTGTGCAGGCAAGGTAGATGGCGGACAGAGTCTCCAGCAGAGGGAATCTCTAAACAAATAGCACAAGCCTCCACTGTCGTATCTGTTGGCTGATCAAGTAGAGAGACAAATGTTAATTTATTTAATTGTTTGTTTTAAATAGATATTGTTGATTAAGTTGTTGCCTCCTCCTGAAATTGCAACTGAATCTCCCCTTAAACCAGTAACAGATCAGAAAACAAGTTTATAGCTTGCAAAAGCTTACTGTGGTGAGAAACGTGTACACTGCAGGGAAATTGTGTACCACGGTGAAAAGCTTTATTGTGGTGAAAAGGTCTACTGCGGTCAAAAAGCCTACCGCGGTCAAAAGTCTATCGTGGTGAAAAACATGTTGACTAAGTTGTTGACTCCCTTTGAAGTTTCAACTGACTCCCTTAGCTGGTAACAAATCATAAAACAAGCTTATACCTTGCCAAAGCTTACCACTTTGAGAAACTTGTACAGCAGTGAAATTGTGTACCATGGTGAAGTAGTCTATCGTGATGGAAAGGTCTACCTCGGTGTAAAGGTCTGCCACGACAAAAAATTATGCCACGAGACCATAAATCGTTTAATGGCTCACTGTGATCTATGAATCATATGTATTAGATAACATGGTCAATAGACTTCAATATTTTATAAAGAACTTGAGGGAGACAAAAAATCCGAAAGCTAGAGGCATGAGAGTGCTTGCTTTCTTCGTAGTGTTATAACGCCCCCATCTCGGCAGAATTTGAGATGCAATCGGTACCAACAAGCACACCCCAAGATACAGTCATATTAGAAAGCACTTCTTGAGTTTCTGAGTTGCACACTCAAATGACCCACACAAAACCACATTAAAAATACTGATATATCCTCAAATTCATAATAATACCAATAAACATCAAATGGAAGCAAAAACATAGATATATCCTTCTCACGTCGTAAAACAAATCTGGACTATAACAAATATGCAAGGCTTTGTACAAAACATCTTTTCAAGATGTATATTTAATCATGTCATCACACCTAAGCATCACCAGAAGACATCATTAATACATGATACTTCTATTAACAAAATCAAATGGTTGCTCTTGATGATTTTTTGGAAGAGAGAAAAAAAATAAAAGAATATCAGTTGAGGGAAAATTAAAATTCAAATAGAGAACATCAATAAAACATTAGGTTTTAAATAATGAGGGATGAAGATGGCATCGCATCGTAAGGTATTATACGATCATTAAATAATACGTACCATAATGCCAAATAAAGACATTTGCAGGACCAATACGTTATGCAATATATATCACAAGGTGATGGGTACCTTACCTAAGAATCAAGCCTAAGTCCAAGGTTCAAATGGGAAAAGAATTCATTTTTTGATGTATAATATATGTAGGGTCCGGTTTGTATAGAGTCGAGGCTCTAAACAATCAAAGTAAAGCTCACCTTCAAATAATGTTGAGAAATATGTTTTCAATACTCGAAATCCTTGTGATAGCCTTAAACTATATTTTTATCTTTAATTATAAAATTTAAATCTTCAAAAATAGTGTAGATAGAGCAAAACTATGGAAACTTTAAAAAATTGAAAATTGATGGTAAAAAATGCATTACAAGATGCACTATTTCCAAAACTAGATATCCATTTTTTTCTCATATTCATACATCTTGATGTCGAGATGATCAATTTGAGGATATTTGGGCATCAAAACAACCCCTTCAAGGGAAATTTTTGAGGTGGGCTCTAATTTGATTGTTTAGAGCCTCAGCTCTATATGAACATTTTCCATATATGTATGTACCATAATTTCATTTAATATAAATTAATAAAAATTTATGCCCCATCCCTTGCAGTGCCGTACAATTTAATGCGATAATTGGAAAGGTTGAATTATACTCTTAATGATTTCATTAGGCCAGATGATGTAAAGCCTAGATTGAGATGCCAAACTCTAGGGCATCCTCTATAGAGTTACTTATAGGAGTGTGGAAGTGGATGCCACTTCATATGCGAATTGGACATTCTCTAGAGCACTCATGAAACCTAGAATTACACAGGGCTTTAAATGAGCAAATCTTTTAGAAAAATCATAGTTTTTGAAAGAGAATGTGTTGTATGTGGGAGGGATCATCAATAACTGACAGTTCAATTGTTCAAGCTCTATCAACCCATTGTCTAGGTAAGTGTTCTGCATCACTATGTGGAGGTTCGAGTTTGTAGGACACCTTTACTTTCTTGTCTTTCTTAATATGTTCAGAGAGGGTCCGTTTGTTTTAAAACATGTGAGGGATTGTTAATTTATATGATTGTTTGTTTCAAAACTAATTCTTTCTATTTTTTATATTTTTGTAGGACCACTAGGATATTTGTAGTCCTCATGGACCACTTAAACTTCTTCTCTTATATAGCATAATGTGTTGGTTCTAGCAATGTATTTATTTGCCACCCTTTGATGCATCATCATGATATATATTATTTGATGGCCTTATGACACCTTACGGTGAGGTGCCATCTTCATCGCTCACACAATTTAAAATCAAATATTTTATTGATGTTCTCTCTCTAGATTTTAATTTTCCCTCATCCAAAACTCTTTCCTTTTCTTCTCCCTTCTGAACAATCACCAAGAGCAACCATTTGATTTTGTTAACAGAGGCATCATATCATATATTAAACAATGTCTTCCTGTGATGTTCATGTGGGATGACATATTTAACAGACTTGAAAGATGTTTGTACAAGGCCTCACTCATCTTTTCAAGAAACAATAGTCACGATTAATTTTTTCAGCATGAGAAGGATATATTTATGTTTTTGTTTCCAATCAATGTTTATTGCTATTATTACCAATTGGAAGACATCAATATTTTTGTTGTGGTTTTGAACAAGTCATTTGAGCATACAACTTAAGAGACCTAAGAAGAGTTCTTTGATCTGGCTGTATCCTAGGGTGTGCTTGCTGGGACTGGTTGTATCTCGAATTTCTGCCGAGTCGGAGACATTCAACACTTTGAAGAAAGTGACCTCTCTCATGCCTCCAAATCCCAAACTTTTGGTCTCCCTAAAATTCGTTACTAAATATAGAGGTCTATTGACTTCATTACCTAATACACGAGACATAGATCACCATGAGCCTTTAAACGATTTATGGGCTCGAGGTTAACTTTTTCACCACGGTACACCTTCACTAAAGGAAACTTTTCACTGCGGTACACAGTTCAGCATGGTGTATGAGTTTCTCAATGCAATAAGCTTTTGCAAGCTATAAGCTTGTTTTGTAATCTGTTACTGGTTGATGGGAGATTCAGTCACAATTTCAAAGGATGTCAACAACTTAATCAACAAAAATCACCAAATAGAAGAAAGCCGAGTCTTTTAATAAGAGCTACTTGTTCAAAGAAAAATAGAGAGAGAGAGAGAGAGAGAGAACATTGAAGAAGTATTACCTGAATCAAGGTCACAGGCAGGCGGTTGATCTGACTCGTAGTGGCCCCACCTTGATGATCATTGTTTTCATCAAGAGCTAGTAGCATCTCATAATCATGTCTTTGAAAAAAAATAAAGCAATATATCAACAGATCTTTCTTAAAGTATTAATTGTTTTGTTAGCTGGTCACCAATTCAAAAAAGGAATACATGCATGTGCGCACGCAGACGCGCATGGGCACTAGCACATGCAAATACACATACACAGGAGGGGGAGAGAGGAAGAGAGAATTAGCACAGAACTTAGGCCTTCAACCTAGGTGCGAGTCTAAGAGCTGCAAATCATGAGGAAAATAGACAAATAACTGCTCATCATCTGTATTTTCACATATATCAGATAAAATTCAAATGAGAAGTTTAGCTTGGCCCCCGTGAAACGATGGCACGCACAAATTGAGAAAAGATCAAAATTTCTTTTCAAACCAGTTTTTCTGTTTAAATTTCTTCCCTAGAAAAAAGAGATAAATGAAAAAGGTCATAGTGGAAATTTTAATAAAAATTAGAATAAGAAGATTAGCAAGGCCCCCCCCCCCATGCAAGAACAGTATGCATAAATAGAGAAAAGATAACAATCACTTTCAAACCTACGTTCAAATTTCTTTAAAAAGAAGAGATAAATGAAAAAGGACAGAGAAAAATTAACTTACTCGTTGAAATCTCGTTCTAATCCAAGAAGATTATTTGGCAGAGGCATTTCATTGTCAAAGAGACCTTCCAGTGCTTCCAATAAATGCACTCTCTGCAAGTAGAAAAATGTATAAAATGGTAGTCTACATCAATCCAGGGCATAAATGAATCCTCATCTCCATATGTTTTCACAAATCCGATCAAAATCTCATCCATATGATACACAATCTGAGAAAAGAACTCAGTCCTCATTAACTGAGCAAATTGATGCCCTGGGTATAGTAATCACTAGAAAGACAAGCTATTATTACAGCAACCATACACACAAGACAGACAAAAAAGAAATGAATACAACCATATAAATAATAAGCAATGCAAAGCAATAATAAAACTAAAGCAGTAGCTGTAACACACAAAATATAGACAACAGGTTAATGGTGTGAAACCGTTAAACTGGTGCCATCAAGTCAAGAGGCAATCATATGACAGCCAGAACAACATCAGTTGTGAAGCTAAACTATCATCGAAAGATCAAAAACAAAGGCTCCATAGGAATCTAGCTAAATAACAATGGTGTAAGCTGAATGGCTAACTACTTAAGAAAAAAAAAAAGAAGCTAGCAAACCTCATAAGACACTTTTTTTTGAGAATCTATAAAACTCATATTGTCACTACAAAGTAGAACTCAGAGAGCCACATTAGAGACCAGCTCCTAAATGGTATTCTTCCATCTTATATTAATGGCCGAAAGGCTGAAGGACAAGCGTCTTCTTGTGTGCCACTAATTCAACTTCTATTCATTGGGTAATTAACCCAAATGGGTAGATTTTCTTCAAATCTAAGCTAATCTATGATAACAACGATGGCATTTTTTCTTAAAAAAAATGGCAAAAGAATCTCCAAACATCCAAAAGGTAATTGCCTATCGAATTATGACAAAAATGAAAGATAATACTCCACATATTTCACAAATTTGCATGCATCAACCAGCATAAAGTCAACAATTAAAAGATGAAAGTACCATACCATATCTATATCCATATTGCGTGGAAATTGTATCCTCCTTCCACTTAAGGGAGAGGCACGACTGTGAAAGTTTCTACGCATCCGGGCCATTCTTGAGGAAGTTGAACCTCGATAATCTTCCAAGGCACGGGATGAGGGACCAGAGCGATTTATTGACCTCATAGAAGAATTCCGGACTGAAGGTGACGGCAAATAGTTATCTCCATGCTCATCTGAAGGGTTCCTCTATGAAAGCATGTTATCATGTAAGATTAGAAATTCAAGAAAGTTAAAGTAACTGCACAACAAATAATTGCAACAATGTAATTAGAAAAAAAAATGTTTTGAAATAAGGGAAAGTATACTGTGATGCATGCAGCCTACAAAACCATACATGTCCATCATGTCCATTATGCAGTCTCTATAAGGCCTAGGCCTTACGAAAAAAAAGTAAAGCTTCACCTTAAAACCTTGTCTGGGAAACACTTTGGGCATGGGAAATCCCTATGATGGCTTTAAAATATATTTCCACCACCAATTATAAAATTTCTAGCTCAAAAAATGGTACAAATCTTGCGGATCTGTGAACATTTGAAAATGGAAGGTATAGATGATGTCTTATAATATACAATATTTTTCGGGCTTGAAATCCTAATTATTTTTTACAACTATAATGATCAAGGTCGGGATGATAGATTTGAAGGTTGATGCCAGAACTGCAATTTTCGGTAAGTTTTGAGGTGAGGCTTTACTTCTTTCCATCAGGCCTAGGCCTTATTTGAACATTTCCCTTATCAACAAAGGACATTTGAGATAGAGTGTTCCTCCCTTTCAGTTAAACTTGATGGACTTGAGCAGGAGGAACAGTTCATTAGTTCATTTATTGCTGATAATGGACAACAGATACTCCATGTGGCAAACTGTTTGCATTCTACATGTATCATGCTCTACAATAGCTTAGGATAATATGAAGAATTAAAACAAAAGATGCACGAAGAATCCCCTACATCTTCTATGTGGAAACAAATTACATTTTCTCAAGTTTCTATGGCGTGTATCTATTCATAAGGTCCATCCCCATTTACATATCCAACTTTTATCTTAGAGACCTATGTCCAAGAATCTAATATAGTGATAAAAAAGACCTTGTTTAATCAAACAAGAGAACCCAAAGCCATCCCATTACAAAGGCAATTCATCATCAGAAGTCCATGATCCAAGGCATCTATTGCCAACAGTTGCTGGAATAAGAAATACACAAATGAGTATAACCCTACCATAAAAATCACATTCGACAAAGTACTGTTAAGATTGCAGAGTGATCAACTTTTAAAGGTAACGCCAACAAGAAACACCAGAATAAAGCTAGGGGAAAATCATCTGGTCCAGAGCCTTAGATAATAATGAAGGAAGACAGGCTCATCTGCTCTTTTTTTTATTTAAAAAAACACTGTAGCATAAAAATCTTAACCATTACGACTATCGTAATTTTCAACTACCAGCAGTCCTATAAAAAATAAATGTGCTATCCCCACTCTCAGCCAAAACAATCTAAGCTCCTAACACACAAAGCATCTTCTTGCCTTGCCATTAGAACCAATTCCAAAACTTCACACCCAAATCATTTGGTGAAATACAAATATTATTGGCAAAGGAGAGACTATTGTCTAACAGAGCACAACAGAAGGAAATAAACCAATAATTGAAGAATGTGGAACTATCCCACAGTTGTTCAAAGTAAAATAAAGTAAATAGAACTTAAAAACAAAAAAAACAAAAACAAACACTAACCTTTCACTACTACGGCTCTGTAAGCAACACAAAATGATTCAAATTGAAGTTTCAGAGCCCGTTCATAATACCAGGTTTACTTACTAAAATAATACTCAACATGCAATATCTCCAATTCTAGATGGATATTTGTCTAAAGTTTAAATAAATATTAAAGCCTTCAGATTAGTTCTGCTACACCATGCGCAATCCTGAGCAAGCATAGAAAGTTTCACTTACAAAAACTGGAAGACCCGGAGTGCGACCAGGAATAAAAGACGTGAGCTCAGCATTCTCCTCCTGTTGCAATGCCCATGCTATGCTCTCATCAAAACTCTGAGCCATACAACATGTTGTCAGGAAAGAGTTGTCCGCTTCATATCAAGAGAAGAACTTTAAAAGATTTGATTCCAATAGAAAAGTAGTTGAACAACAATGACTAAACAAAACCATATTCCAGCTAGGAAATCTGGATTAACACAAACATGCACAAACCTCTGCACCTCCTGATTCCGAAAATTCCTCATAAAATTGCTCTTGAAGCTGCTGAGCTAGCAAAGCATCCGCTTCAACTTGTCTCACTTGCTCATCCAAGTGAACAACATCAGTGCCAATGACACTTACCACCGAGCTACTGCATCTCATTTGGGGGGAAGGCGAATCACTGATTTCTATAACCGGTTCACAGATCCTTTGGTTACAGGGACCGTTATTTCTTCTAGATGAAGCATGATTGCTATCTTCTGACAGAAAATTTGAAATAGAGCATTCACCAGGTTGATCTTGAATGGAAAGTGGAGTTGTTTTTTGCCTTTTTAACAACTTTTGAGCCCCATGACTCTGTCTTTCATTAGGTAGATTTGCACTGAGAATGTCACTGGAAGTTGCTTGAGATAGAGCAACACGTGGCCTATAATCATGAGCTACTAATTCCAGATTAATATTTTCTCCATTGGACAATTCCCCAGCTTCAACAATTGTTTCCTTTTCCTTGGGGGGGCGACCAAGATCACAGGCCAAAACTGAAGAGGTTTGCTTTGAACGAGAGCGCGTACTTCTCCAACTTCCAATTTCCTCAACAATGTTGACATTATTGTCACTGATATTGGGGGTTTCACTAAGCTCTTTCTGAGGCACTGACCTGGCAAAAAGCAATACATTAGAACCCACACCATGGCATGGAAATTCTATGCACAGTTATGCTACAGGTATACATGCGCCAAAACAAAGGAAATAACACAAGAAGAGAGCAATTGACTCTGCAAGTTGTCCCATTATTCACTTCTAGAAAGGACAATATCAACCAATTGTTGACACACATGTTTCATAAGGACCAATATCTGGTTTCTGAAGAAAGAATAAACTAAGGGTCTGTTTAACAGCACCCTAATATCTTTAATATTTCAGGATAATATGGAATCTACTGTAATCTTTACTATATAAGTTTATGTGCCATGTTTGATAGGGTCAAATCATTTCTCTGAATATCCAAATATCCCCTACGTATCTGAATTTCCAAGAATTCAACTTGTAGTAGAATTTTGCAAGAACAGTTTCTCTATCAATTTTTTTTTTTTTGCGTATCTCAGTCCCTCTCTCGTCTCCTCATCTTGCCATACTTGTCTCTCTCCCTCTCCCATCCAGCAGAGGCCCTATCCTCCCAATGGACTCTCTCTCTCTCTCTCTCTCTGACACACACACACACACACACAGATTCGAAAACCCCTGCATTGATCACTGAAATGAAAACCTTTGGTTTCCATTTCATTCTACTTCCTCTAGTATCTCTTATTCAAGTACAACCCATCTCTCAACTTTCTCATTTTCACTGAACACCTTTCTCAACACTGAAATGGCAGAAACCCTATTCACGCAAAATAAGAAATGGGAGAAACCCATGAAGAACTGGACATTGAGAGCAAAGTTTCTTCTTGGGAAGATAGGTTTCGCCATGTAGTTGCAGACCCTTGAGATTTAGAATCAATGGGTGGAGAGAGAATCCGTTACTTCAAGACAAGTTCAAATGGAAGGAGAAAAGATGGTCATCCCCCTTTATGTGGTCTGAGTTTGGTGGCCTTCATTGCCACCACGTTCATCAATGACTGCCCTACAAATTCTCACGGTGACTTCAACTTGAAGTCTCTATGAAGCTTTTCCTGTCAAGCACTTGATGAGAATCCTCTTCTTCGCCTCCTTCCTCAATGTAATCTCTCTCTCTCTCTCTCTCTCTCTCTCTCTCTGTCTCTCTCTCTCTCTCTCTCCCCATTATTTGGTGGGAGCTTCTTTTCTTGGTTAAAAATGGGAGATGCAGTGAACAGTGGGCTAGAGGGTGATGTTTTCGCAGGCACTGCTCTAACTGACATGTGTTCTAAATGAGCAAGCTTGGGAGAAGCAAGGGAAATGTTTAATAAAATGGTTAAAAGAGACATAGTAGCTTGGAATGCCATGACTTCTGGCTAAGCACTCCATGGCTTCTCAACTGATGCAATTGCTTCATGTGTTGCAGAGAGCCAATGAGAAGCCAAACCCTTAAACTCTGGCTTCAATTTTGCCTGGATTTGGCCACCCTCAGCTCAGGGACATGGAAAAGTTGCACATTCTTATTGCATTCAGAGATGCTTTGTTGGTGAGAATATCATGGTGGGAACCACACTCTTAGACATGTATAGCTTTATAGCTACATTTTGCTTCAAGGCCGCAAATGAATACAAGTACGGGTTTCTACCTTTCTCCTACCTCATAATTGGGTTTGTGTAATCTGGAATTGAAATGGATTTTTTCGAGAAGAGTGAGAGAATTTGAGGATTCAAACCATAGCTCTTCTTTGAGAGAGAGACTTGGCACCACTTCATGCTTGATGAAGAGAAGAGAAGAGAAAGAAAGCAATGAGAAAAATGATGGCTTGCATTACACAAAGATCAGATTCCGAGATGGGAAAAAAGAGAGAATAAAATGTTAAAAAGAAGAAATTAGATGTGGAAAAAGAAGGAATATCAGTGAAAAAACGTGAAAAATAAAAAAGTAAAGAACTATGAAAATGTGACAAGAAGAAATACAGGTGTACAAGCAAACATGCACAAAAAGGCACATATCAGTTCTGTATAATTCACATATGAAAAACACGCAATGCCATTATTTAGATAATTAGATTTCTAAAAATTTGAATTTTCAGATTCTATTTTGTCAAACAAACCAAAAACATAAATATATCAAGGAACGTAAAACAGAATATTATATGCAGACAGAATTACTACTTTTGTCTTTAATATGAACAGTGTTATAAATTATATAAGAAGAATGGGAAATAAGATATAAGAAATATTAGAAATAAAGGAACAATAAAGTATGATACCATTTTGTCAACAAATGTTAAGAGTGTCATGCTGAGTCAGTCCGATGTCATTGTTGCAAGTGAATAGGTGTTGATGCAACAAAGCAACCCCAAGAGTTGGTGATAAACTCATAAAAATGACTAAATTTTTTCTAATATATTCTATAGAAAGGACTTTCAGTTGTAGCATGACATATGTTGAGGTAATGTGATAGGCAGGGTATGACAGGGTATGCAAGTCTAGCAATTAAATATATTGGAACAACAGGTGGGCAGCTAGGATCATCCAGCCCACAGAATGCAAAATAAGGAAAGAAGTCCATATGGGTGCCACAAAACCGAGAAAGAAAAACTTGTCATGCTATACACTATAGCCATTCATTTTACAATACTGAATTACCCAAAAAAATATGTCCTATTTTCCTATACTGAATTACCCAAAAAAATATGTCCTAGCATCTTTTTTCTAAAATAAAAGAGAGAGAGGAATGCAGTCTGTGTTTATGTTGAACCATAATACAGAGTCTGCATATTTTTCTTTCTCTAATAAATCTTGTCCTAGCATCATAATACGATATGCAGTCTGAGCATTGTTTTTTAACAGGATTCAACATGAACCAAATATAAAATATCAATATTAGGGTCTTGAGATGGCTAACCATTGAACTCCCTTAGACCATGCATGCCTGAATGTGTGTGCGTATGTGTGTGTGTGGTGGGGGAGAAGAGAGAGAGAGAGAGAGAGAGAGAGAGAGAGAGAGAGAGAGAGAGAGAGAGAGAGAGAGAGAGAGAGAGAGAGAGAGTAGTAGTACGTAGTTACGTACGTAGTACGTACGTAACTAACGTAACTAAAACGTAAAACGTAAACTAAACGTAAACGTAAACGTAAGTAAAG